TCTCTCTCTCCCTCCCTTTCCCATCTCTCTCTTTCCCTGTCTCCTCTTTCCATCGCTCGCTGCACCTGGCCTCGCATGCGTCACCCACCAACAATGAAGACCACTTGTATTGGAAATTTGCATTAATCTGATAAGGAACTTTGTGCTGCAGCTCAATCTAATGGCGTTACAACAAAATGAACAGCATGAAAACCTTATCCGTGAATACACACATAATGTGCCAACTTTCATGGAGATAGGTCACACGGTGTCGGAGTTCATTGTTCTGGCATGTAGCAACATCAGTGGCGGCTGGTGCCTTTAATTAATGGGGAGATCCATGCAAAAATTGTTTTGAAATTTTCTTAATTTTTCGATTTCATAATAGTAAATCGTTGCTGCCGCCACAATCCATAGCAATGGTTTTCCTAGATTATTGCTTTTAAAATAGTTGAAAACAATAAGAACAATAATATTTGTTTTCCCCAATATAGAACACTTCCACGCTTCCGCTTTACGGATGGTGGATCACACATTCAAAATTAATTTTGCAAAAAAAGAAATTAAATTTGAAAAATTGTAAATTAATAAATTTGCCACAACCTAAAAATCAAAATGAAGAAAGGAATACGAAATTACATTTTGTCGTGATTAAAGTGTTAAATCTAACAATACAAGAACGAAACAGGCGAACGAACTCAGGTAAACAATCGGAGCGCGTTCTTTAAGTCCGTTGACACTTGACCAGTTATGACGCTGTCATCCAATTGGGAACTTGAACGTGACCAGGTGACATCCACGTTTATGCCCTTCGTTCCGAGCATGCTATTGAGTTTGCATTCCTGGTTTTGGGGGAAAGTCCGCAACCCACCGGCCGCCAATGCAGGGCTATGAGAACGAAGGCTTCTGCGGCCGGAGCCTGTGGCTGCTTGGCTGTCTGAGAGACCCAGGCACAGGTGCCAACGTTTCGGCCGCGATTCTGTGACCTTCCTCGGAACGAACTGTGCATTTCGCCCGTTGGCATCTGTGCCTAGCACGCGGCGCCTTCCGGACAACCAAGCCACCAATGCATGGTGTTAATCTACGGCCAAGCAGCTACGGATGTCGGGGGAAGTCGCTGGTGCTCGCAGGAGCGCCGGGCTTCCCAGGCGGGAAAGTAGCTCGTGCGGGTGCGGTTTGACAGGCTTCAATAGTGGGTACATCGTCAGTCGCGAAAATTTGTGTGTGTCTTGTTTTTTTCTTCCGGAGAGCTTATTATTGAGAGTTATTGGCAATCGTCTCCCTAAGTTTTGCAACTGGGCGCTCTATAGGTGTTATTTGAAGGGTTTCTTGCAAGGTCTGGAAAGCGAATCTAATAACTCTCATCTGGTTACTGACAATTTCGCGGTACATTTATAATATATATTTTGTTATAATATCCATATTTTTTAATCGTAATTATTATTCGCAAGTTTTCGAAACTGATGTGGTAGACTATTTTTAAATAATTCGATAAGGTTGAATTAGAATTGCTGAAACCGTTATCATAATTCCTTTGTTAATTGCGTTAGTTGTGTAGTAGAAACACCCTGATTTTCTATCAGGGTGTTCGAAGAAATTAATCCTTCGAAAGTAAAGTAGGAATTAAATAGAAATAAAAATTAATGTTCTATCTACTTGCCGAATAGTAGGTTCATTTACATTTCATGCAATTGAAAAACAGGAAAACCCTGCATTCAAAGTAATAGTGTTGATAATGAACAATTCTCAGGACAAAATATTGTTCCAACTTAGGTATTGGAAATTAATTTTTGATTTATTATAGCGATACTTTTAACGTTCACTAGTAAATACTAATATAGAAAAATAAAATGATTGGGGTAATTTTCCGTACTCGCTAGTCCTTCTGTACTGTCCGTTTGCATCTTCTCAACTTGCCAATTTTATAATTTTTCACTGTAGTTTGCTAGTAAGCTAGTGAAATACTTAGATTCAGAATCTTACCTTCCATGCAACTTTTTGCCCGTAGGTATCGAATTCCATAGAAATCGGGAAATCTCCTCTCCTGTAGAACCTTCTGAATGAAGTTGGGTATTTTGGAGGCCGTGGTGAATAAGCGCCTGCTCTCGGCGGACCACGAACTACTACATCCTTCTGGAGAGACTGGAGAGAAAATCCTGGAACTATTCTTGGTGGATTCCGTTGTTTTATATGACTAGAATGTCTTCTTAATCGTTGACAGATTTCCTGTCCATTCACCATTGAAGATGTTAAAATTTGCGTCTAAAACTTGTTGTAAATTAGAAAGTCAGCAAAATTATACAAATTTCGAATCCACCACACACTCGCAGGATTCACGAATTTAGTTTAAAAATACTATTGATTATGCCTGGCGTTAACGTCTGGGAAACTAGAGCAACTCCGTGATGTTGCCAAGCAACAATCAACAAACCACCTTGTAGCGATTAAATCACATTTGTCGCCACGTTAAAACATCATTCTTCTTGCCATGAAAGCCACAATTATTTTAATCAGCGCATTTTCGGTACTTTTTATCGTCGTTCCTCGTTAGATTATAAAGTATGTACAATTTCAGAATACAATTTATAGTATTTGTGGCTTAATGTATACTGAAAACGCCTGTGCGAAAATGGTAGTATAGGTTGAACCTCGTGAACATACACTTGTTTTGCGTGTGTAAGATATGTCTTTCGTTTGAGCCATATTTTTATATTTTGAATTGGAGGTTTGAAATATACGTACTTTTATCTTCTAATTTGTACTAATACATTTCCTTTCCCAATTGGCTTCAAATATTTTTAATGCCAATGCTGATTAAAGACAAACGATTCATATCAGCAGCATAAATGGGCTTGTTAGCACTGCCTTGTTTATCATAATATCTTTCAATCTTTACCTCTTGTCAACAAACACATCAGTTTTGTTCACCTATACTAAGACACTCCTAATGTATGTATACATCAGGACAATCTGGGATGTTCTCTTGCAAGTGCTTTTTACGTCTGGAAAAAAATTGAAGGTAATATTTGAATATCTGTTATGAAATTGTAATGTCATGCAGATATTTAAACAAAATCTATTTTTCTTCTTTATCAGGTGCATCAAATTATTTTTGATTCCACTTCAAGACTTTTGAATTCTTGAAAATACTTCACAAGAGTTATTCATGGAGAGTTTAATTTACAAAGAAAATGTTAGCAGACTTCCACCTCTCTCGCACAGAAAGAGGTATGTTTGTTTAACTCAATAATAGCTTTAAGGGGAGACGGAACCATGAAATAGGCCAATTATAATTTTTTTTTTTTTGGTTAAATAAATAGTTCAAACATTGCTCTTTCCAAATATATTAACATTTTTCTCTTGTAACATCTGGAAGTTCCTTTAAATCTTGTTTAAATGTTGGTGAGCATGAGCCGTGCCCCCTTTTTAAACATGGCTATTTTTGTGTAATTTTGTAGGCATGTTGTGTTGTTAATAAGTTATTGAAACATGCTCTTGTTTATACGTTGGTAGCATTGGTCTTTTCTGCTGTAGGAGTAGATCCTGAATTTAGAGCAAGAATATTGTAGTAGAACATTGGCAAATAAGTCTTTTCAGATGGCGTTTGCCAAAATATACTTATTTCATAATTAATATACCGTTCTTCAGAAACTATTATTCACAATTTATTAAAATTTACAAAATACATTCTTCATAATTTTTGCAATAAATTGATATTATTATATAAACTATCTTTGAAAACAGAGAATATAAAAAAAAAAACATGTTTGTCCAAAAATACTCAAATTTTATGGCAAAAGTTATAATTGAAGAAAAAACTACTTTTTTTAAACAACTCAAAAACCTTTCAAAATAATAACAAAGGCTGTACATTTAAGTTTGTGAAATTCAATTTTCTACAGAAGTTATAACAATAGTAGCAAATTTAACATGGGCGATATACTTGAGACTTTCTCCTCTTAAAGGTCAAAATTAAATTAACTACTCCTTATGAACACAGAAATAACATATTTACATTAAAACATTAGCTTGGGCATAGTAAAAGGGCTTGTGATGGTCACTGCTCTTTATTCAAATTCCCTTTTCCAGTGATAAGAAAATTTACTTTTGGGAGGGATCAATAGGTTTCATGGGGTATTTCAAATTTCAGAGAAAGCAGAGGACAAAGTAAAATTTTCCAATGTTATGGAGACTTTTCATTCCCAATTTGTGAGAGAGACCCAGAGAACAAAAACAGGTGAGTGCCCCCTTACATCAGTAATGCTATGCCCATGCACATTGGTATTAATATCGGTGCAATAATAATAATAATAATAATAATAATAATAATAATAATAATAATAATTTTAATAATAATTACAGTAATTCATTTGTCACCCAACTGCTTATTGAATGCTGTTGAAAATATAAAGTTCAAAGTAATTAATGAAGTCATAAAATTTGCTGAAAATCATAGTAGATCTTATATTAGGTTAAAGGCTCTGCAAATTACTGTGAACCCTCATTTTATGTGAATAATTTGAAATTAAATTATCAACCAATTAATTTTTTGTGATTTTTATAAATACATGAAAATTTGATGGTCAAAATCTTCATACTTGATCTCGAATGTAATGAGATAAAAAATATAAATGAAATTAATGCAATTTTCTTATTAAACAGGGGTACTGTTTAGGTATTATTTATTACACAATTTTCACTAAAGGTATCTATTGTGATCTCTTTGTGGGAAAGTAACAGTTAGAAGGAAAGAAATCTACATAATTCCTTTGTTTAACCTTTCTTTACATTCACTAAATTTTATCTTCTATTAATTGTTTTTTTGTTGTTGTTTTTTTTTCCTTTTAATTTATTAATATTTTTCAGTAAAATTTGTGTGGAGTAAGAGGTAGAAATTCATTTACATTTCAAGAAATTCTGAAAGAGGAAATAAAACCACTAACATATTAAACAAATATTTGGATTTTGTGAGATCTCTTCTGTCAGATCATGAATCATTATCTTTATATTTTCTTACAGGACAAAGATATCATCAGCAGCAAATATTAAATCACCAACCAATAAAATGTATGATTCTCTGGAAATACCCCATGTAAGAAATTTGTAATTATTCAGAATAATAATGAAAGAAATAATTTGCAGCATTCTATATGATATTTAAAATTATCTCTTTTTTTGTTTCTTGTTTCTCAAGGACTCTTGCAGAAATTCAAAAAGTTCTGGTAGTAGGTCATACGTTAGAAGCAACATAAATTATAACACTCCAAACCCTTCTTCTCCAAATGGTGAGCTTTATTTCACATTTTCTATTTCAAATATACATTTCATTTCTAGAATCAAAGAATGTGAGAAAAAATGATCTTAATTGCATAATATAAACAAGAAATCCATTGTGTTTATTCATGATACACTGTAATTCTTTCATATTAATCACTTTTTTTTTGACATTGAAATTCTTTAAAAATTGTTAAAATGGAAAAATATTTTCTTGAATGAATCAGAAAATAAAATTAATGGTATTTGGATGACTTTTACAATATGGTTATTTTTTTT